CTGGTGCTCTAATGAGGTGGGACTGAATCGTATGGGGGAACAAATTGGAAAAGTTAGCAAGTTTGATTACTTATCACAGTATACTTGCAAAGGGAAATATGCGAAGTTCTGTGTGGAGTTGGATGTAACCAAACCACTTTTACCTATGATATGTATCGAAGGAAGGGAGTATAAGGTAGAATACGATGGGTTAGATGTGGTATGTTTCTCCTGTTTCCGATATGGCCACCAACGAGGCAATTGTTTGAATGTGCAGAATCTTACATTACAAAACTCTGTTGAAATAGGGGTTACAACTTACAAATGATTTGCGTGAAAGGACACGTGAATCATATTCATGTTGCGCATGCTACTCGAAACCCAATGAGAAAGTCTTACTTCGAATTGCACGCCAAATCACACCGAACCGAACCGAACCGATATCTTCACTCTTCTACCAAAAACCCACACAGAACCAGAACCAGAACTCAGAACACGTGACTACCGCAAAAGAAAAATGGTGTTAGGGCTTAGACAATTCTCAGCGAGAACCGGCGAACCTATTCTCGACACCGGTGGCGGAGAGGAGCTCGTGCACGTCCGCTCTCGGCGATCGTGCTCCTGAGTCCCCCTCGGCACTCTCTACATCACCACCAAGTACTCCCTTTATTTTGTCTCTAGAGATTCTTCCATAGTTCTTACTTTCTCTGTTTTGATCGCACTGGAAAAATGGTGATGAATTGATGATTTTGTTCTTTTCTTCCGTTATTAGACAAGTGGTGTGGTTGAGCGATGTTGACAGGACGAATGGTTATGCTGTTGATTTCTTGTCTATCTCGCTGCATGCTGTTTCGAGAGATCCAGAGGCTTACACACTTTTCCTTGTATTTACAGTCAGGTATGCTCTTCTCCCACTGTCTATTTAGATATGAATTTGTATTTACTTCAAGCTCCTTTCTATTGCTCATTCAACATAATCTGTCATGTACTCATGTTATAGTCCATTTGGATGCTGAATGCCTTTGCAAATTTAATTGGGTGATGAAATAAATTACGGCACCGAAAAGTTTGGCTGCAATTACAGGGAGGTTGGTTGCAAATCCTGCTAACTTGTTTGTTTCTTAGATTAGCTGGTCTCTGGGTTGGGGTTGGAATGTCTTTGTGGGATTTTAAAACTGAGCAGTCCTGGGTTCCTGAACTTATTTTGTAGTGAAAAACCGCCAATTAAACTGAAGAGCAAATAAAAATGTAGATAATCAAGTTTCAATGGCACAATATTGTTCAGAATCTAGTTAAACTGACATTGGAACATTTGAAGGCCATCATATAGTGACTTTTTAGGTTCGATATTTATATTTTTATATCAACTCATTTGGAAACGGTAAACATGGTCTTCATTTGTGCTAGTCTTTTGAGTGTTTGATGGCCAATTCTAACTAGAAATGAAGTTCAAAATTCATGTACTTCTTAAATCACTAGTTTCCATTCCCATCCAGTGAACCACCATAGAGATTTAGATTGGGGATTTGGTGCAATTTGATTCCAGATAAGTGCGTCTTGTATTTGCTTTTAACTTTATCTTTTCATGAAGGTTCACATCAAGCATGGGTTGTAATCCCCCCTTTTCCCTTTGTCTCTGCCTCTTAAGTTGTTGATTGTCTACAGAAGACAGGATTTTGTATGTTATTGATGTATTTCTTTCCTCCCTTCAGGTTATGTGTTGCTAATTTAGGTTCCTTTTTGTTTCTTTTGATAAGACTGAGACAGAAGATGGTGAAGAGGAGTCTGAAGGCCCAGATTCTGAAAGTGACGAGGTTTTAGATTTATCCAAGATCACAAAGACGAGGCTTATTCCTTCAGATGCTGGCCAATGTGTGTATATTTCAGAGCTTGTCTGTTTAGATTCTTTTTGTACTGGTATTCTTGCTGTTTAACTGTGGATGCTGACTTTTCTCCTGATTTCTTCCTTAATGGTGGACACTTTGTTTCAGATATTCTCCGTGTGTGCCAAGCTGAATCCTGATCCTATTGAAGGTGGGTCTCTCTACACGGTATGGAGATTGAAGATTATTGAGAAATGAGAACTTCTTTTGGCGTTTTATGGTGTGCTTACCTTTTTATTTCATGACAATGTACTGTTTTTCTTTCTTCTACTTTTTAGAAGATGAAGAGGGAGAAGGTTGGGTTTTCAGTGCTGATCAGATGGTAGATGAGGCTAGAGGTATGTGCTGCCTAATGACTATTCTTCTTTTCTTGATGTTTGTTCATATTCTATCCTTTTAGTGACCGATCAATATTTCCAGAAAATGAAGATTCTGAATGGGATTTCTCCCACAATCCAGTGAGCTCTATTGGTCAGTCAAATGGCAATCATGACCTTGCTCATTCAGTGCTTCAGGTGGGCTGCTAACATGTTGTGGTTCTCAAATATGATTGTGCTCCTTTGGGTTATGATTAAGTTTCCTCAACATCATCTACTTCGTGCTTCAACAGTAAATGTTAAGCCTCTAATTAGATAAATTTCTTGCTGTTTTCTGCACGCACAGTCTTTTTTCCTGAAAAGTTGTTTTCTTTTCATATCTTACATCCTTAATGGCTTCTCTTTTGATAAGAATTTATAATTGCAGCTGCAGATTAATGACCAACGCTTTGAAGATGCAGAAGAGATGGAAAATGTTTGGCAGAGTAAACTAAGGGTTCATTTGATGCAGTTTTTAAGTGCTTCAATTTTTTAACACTATTCATATTTTATAAGTTTAAGTCTTTTTCTAAAAAATTTACATTTTAAAATTTTTTTTAACCTTAAAAAGATTTTAAACAGTAAAAGATTAAAAACTTTAAATTCAAGTTTTTTATAAACTTTGTTTTTACTCATTTTTTACTTTTTTTTTTATATTAAAAAAAAACTTTTAAATTTTTTTTTCAATAAAAATTTAAATTTATCACTCATAAACAGTAAAAAAAAAAAAAAAAAAGCTCTGATAAGTTCCGCCAAATATGCCCTAAAATGCCTGGGTTGCTTTTAACCACATTCACCCCAAGCATTGCCGTGTCGACTTAATGATTGGTTTGAGTTTGCACTTTTTTCCTTGTAGGGATTCCGACTTTAATATTTTATTTTCCTATTGTCCTCTCACATTTGTATATTAAAAGTGATCAATTTTTAACACTAAATTCTGAAGTCAAGATTAGAGGATTTGCA